ACACACAATGTCATAAGACATTATTATTAGGTTTAATTTCGCTTGTCAGGGTCTAAGGAAAATGTTATTTTGATGTTCAATAACGACGTGAAATGATGTTGATTTGCTGATTTTAGGATGTGTTGGAAAGTGACTAAATGCCAACATTAATCCAACCATTAATTAACCATTTTTACAGTGCAATAAATGAGATATTTCACACAATTTTAATGGCGCAGCACATACACAGCAAATTCATCTGAGTTAAATTCTCGGTGTTGAAGCATTTCAGAGTAAAGTGTTGACGTTAAAGAGTTAAGATTTTGATAAATGAATATAATAAGAGTTAGAATTGATTTTATTCAGTGCGAAATCAAGGAGTTAAGTTTTCAACACTTGGTGGTGTTATTTCCAACATCCGGGAATTCATGCAGCCCCAGTCACTGAAGAATTTTCCAGACGCCATTTTCCATCTGAGGTTTAGAACAGCAACTGGTGAGTCAAACTACCTAAATGTTGGTATTTTACTGACTTTCTTTAAGGAAATACAGTTGTAAACATATTGTTAAGTTAATAACTTTAGAATGGAGTGACAATTTTAATCTTCTGCGGTTCATTCATGGTCGTTTGTGTATCTAGCTTAACTGCATTACTATTCACTTCTTTTCAAGAATGGTTTTATATATGCTCACGCATACATAGTGCATAAAAACATCAAATGTACATGTTCAACACATTTCTGTCACGCTTAATGCCATTTTGTGCGTTGTTACCCATCTGTAAAATAAAATCGACACTTCTCCTTTAATTCGAAGCAAACTAGCGAGGGAATCCCCGGGGCAGCCTAGCCTACTCTGCCCGGATGCTAACGGCAACACAGGACGGTTTCCATAAGCTCTGGAGAGTTTCTAAAACATATCTGGTGAGTAAATGAACATATGCTTACTTGTAAAAGGCTTCCTGACTAAAACATATGATTGTTTGTTATTCGTGTACGTTAATTTGGTTATTTTAAACACCGCGTCCCTTTTAAACTGGTTCATTCGTGGCCGTCCATATACCGTTAGTCCATAGACTCGCGTGATAACGTACGCTTGAATTATATTAAGCGTTGACAACCATTAAAGTCGGAATGTTAACATTAATGTCTTTAAATGACCGCGTTTGCACTTTCTAAGACATTTAACGTTACAGAAGTCTCCCGGAAGTTGCGGGACTAACGTTAACGTTATCCCGCAAATGCACAGAGACTCCCAGATGCCCAAGTAGATGCCCGCAAATGAATGATAATCTCCCGGAAATCGCGCGTCTCCCGCCCGGTCATTAAACACTTTGCACACCCCTCTCCACGGCATCCCTCCCAGCTCTTCAGGTACGTCGCGCGCAAGTCACCCCCACCGCTCTTCAGGTACGTCGCGCGCAACTCACCCCATTGCTCTTCAGGTTCTCATCTCTCCCGCTACCTCCCGCAAATCAACTCTGTATCCCCCGAAAATTACTTTTCTCAACTCGGGGTGTCTGACGTTAGTAAGTTAGGCTATTTATGTAGTCAGGAACATCTTAGTCAAGCTTTTTCTCCCGCATGATATTGTGCTTAAAACTATAGGCTAAACTTAGCATGTACTGTACACAACATTTCCTTTTTATTAAAGACAAATTAGTGCGTTGTAAACAGCCACCTGTCTGTAAAATTAATCAACTGATTCATATTTGAGCAGCCTAATGATGATACAGGTTTGATTTGTAGATTTATTATCAATAATCAACATCTGAATCAAAAGATATCTGAAAAAGTGTGAGGTATACTTTGTGATGTTCATCTCTCCTTTTTATCTGAAGGTTATGCATATGTGTTAGATACTAATTTTTTGTTGTTTTTTTAACAGCCACAGTTCTCTATACAATAACACAAGACCCTGTGACGGTGGCTGATTAGAGACGGATGGTGTATTTCCAGAGTTGGTGAAATGACCAAGCACACCTTCTTGGTCATATGTGGTGACAATAATGAAGGTATGTTTGATAAAGTTCTGTATTTGTTTCACATAAGCTGAGAGGGTATTAGAGCATTAAAGAATAACGACTGACATGAAGGTGATAAGTTTTGTATTGTGGGTGAACTGTTACTTAAATAATGTTTTGCTCTTTACTTTGCACTTTTCCTCTTCTGCTTATCCTTATATTTTAGATTATATTTGGACCTGAAACATCTGCTAGACTCCAGCAAAGGTGGCGTCAATACTGGACCTGAAAGGGCCTAACAAGTTGAATCTGGTAAAGAAACATGCACACACGCACGCACGCACGCACACACACGCTTACAGAAAACTGTTGTTTATGAAGTTTTTGAATATTTTTTACACTGTGGCCAATATTTTGGGGAAGTCAGCATCACTAAATGATATAAAAGATTTTAAGCTCCTCTAAATTTTGCTCCAAGTGTTGTGTTAAATTCAGGCTTCTGGACAGACAGCTGCCTGTTTTTCCAGTTCTAGTCATAGTGGTTAACCTAATTGTTTTTGGAGATCCAACAGTGATGTATGTGTTTTTTCTACTTTTCCATATCCTGTCACCTCAACCAGCTGGGAGAGTCAAGTTGTGGATCATCATGAAGATTTTCAAAAGGTGAGTTTAGATTTCTTGAATGTTTTATTTACTTTAAATGTTCTTTTAAATATATCATAGAATTTGATTGCAATTTGTTTTCAAACATTTTTCTTAGTCATGCTGGAGTCTTGAAGAGTTCTTAGATGAGCATCACCCTATATCCGTGCATCAGGAACCACCAGGCGAGCGATCAGCAGCTGCTACATCGTCATGGATAAAAAGGTCATCCTGTGGCTGGGAAGCACTTCATTCACAGGACATGCTTGATGAGATTTCCTAGCTCCAGTTTGTTTTCACACAAGTTTACAGCATTTATACCTTCATTTAAACTGCTGTGTTTGATATGGAGGACCAAGGAAACACCAGAAGTGAAAGATTTGCACGCCAAGTTGTTTAAAATGTAATTTCACAAGAAAACTATGAGTTCAGAAGTAAACTATGAGTGACGCTATATTGAACTTTCAAATTGCTCTGATAACACATCAAGTTTGGACCAAAAGACTGAAACAGCCATTTTGAGCACTGGTCATACATATGTTGTTGATACTGTCTGTACTAATAAAACATTTAAAGCATATTTGACATTGTTGCATTTTAAAAACTGAATGAATTGTTGAAGTGGTGAATGTTTTCAAATAAAATGTTTTTTCTTTTGTAATTTACAGTCTATTTTACCTTTTTACCATATTTACACTCAAGAGAGTTGAATAAAATAACAATATATTACACCAGGCGGTGTTAAATATAGTTACATTTTTTAACTCTGCCCAGAGTTAAAATTAACCCTTACTTCGGTGTCAATGTGCCAACCCTTTTGAAAGTGTTGATTTAACTCTGTTTTGAGTGGACCCCATGAGACACTTTCAAAGTGTTGAAATTAACATCCATAGAGTTGTTTTGGGTCCCCATATTTTGCTGTGTACACGTCTCTTCTGTTTTTTCTTTCTTTCTTTCTTTCTTTCTTTCTTCGTTATAACATTAAGAAGAACTGTATTAAAGGCCCTTTCAGATGATGCTTTATCTCCATGATCTCCCTGCCAAGCCCTAGGTGTTTGCTCACACATCTATGAAATGTCCATATGGATGTTGGCCTTCACCTTGATGAGCTCTCAAAGCAGCATGAATGTGAATGAATTATGAAGGGGGATGTCATTTATAACAAACCTTGCTATCATTCGCTGTTCAGTTTTAAACTGCAAGAAATTCAGCATCACAAATGAGGTTTGTATTATAAAAAATATACTACTTTCATTATGTCTGTGCAAATGTTCAATTGTGAATGTCAAAACAGAAATACAAAAGAAAATAGAAGTATTTTTAATGTTATTTGAAAAGGCCTGAGTTTGTTTAAAAGGTATTTTACTGTCATTCAGAACAATCTGACTGCTCCATCATGCTGGCATGACTAGCTCAGAATAGTGTCACATGCACCACAGATTTGGTCCGCATTCTTTTGCACAACCAGAAGATGGTGCTGCTGATGATAATTAACTGACCGTGCTCGGCAACTGATGCTAAATAAAATAAAATAAAATAAAATAAAATAAAATAAAATAAAATAAAATAAAATAAAATAAAATAAAATAATACAAATAATATTAATGATAATAATAATATTCATCATCATCATAATAGAAAGGAAAGATTAAACCGCTAATATTTCTGTACCTTTTAGTAATTTTTTGAAGTGTAAATAATAATAAATTAAAAAAGTAAATAAAGTCAAAATGAAGAATACATAAAAATAATAATAATAATAATAATAATAATAATAAGGTGTAAAAATTATAATAAGAAAGAAAAATAAAATAAGATAAATGATAAATTACAATAACAGAATGAAATTGCTAGACAATGTTCAATCTTGTGTAAATAAATAATAATAATAAATGTCAAAATATAGAATAAATGTATTATCATTAACAAAAAGAGCAACAACAACAATAGTAATAATAATAATAATAATAATAATAATAATAATCACTATTTACTATTTGTAATATTATTTTTTGTTTTGTTTTTTTTTTTTGTTGTGGCGGCTGTTATTGTTGTGACTAGTTATGTTTAGTGTAGTGTAGGCTATAATCTCTTTAGACAACCTTTGGATATTTGGCAATAATAATAGCCTACGTTTGCACACGTGGATGGAGAATAAAGTAGAATCGAACGACACTGTGTTTTTGAAGGTCCTTAAATATTCCGAAACACGTTTTCCTTTTTCCCCCACGACCGATTCAACAATAGCCTATAAATGAAAATATTTTAATGATCGCCTGACTGCATGAACCAGCCAGCGAGGCTTCGATGCGTCTCATTTGATCCAATCAGACATCTCACCGTCGCTCAAGCGGTGAGAATAAACACACATCTCACTTCAGCGCTTATCCCGTCCTGCAATCCGATTGGCCAGTAAGTGTGCCACTCTAATGCGCTTCTCCGCTACTACAGGTCGGTGCGGATCAAACACCTTGCAGTCGGTTCAGAGCCATTGAGGAAAAAAGGGGGTCTCTCTCGGATATGGTGGAGTAGGCTACATCGGGGCGGCTTGGAAACCACCTGGTTTGGAATAACCCGATGGAAATTGGAGGACGGGGGCCTTGCGAAGTCCGTCTCGAGGAGGTTTTCATGGAGCGTTGAGATTATTATTATGTGGTGGCTTGCCTTAATGATGTTTACATCTCCGGCTTTCCCATTCATCGTGTTTGTGTGCATGGGGTTAACCGAGGCGGCTCATTCCTACGATGCGCTGCCGTTAGTAATAAGGAAATCTCGTGCAGTCGCCGAAGAGCATCCAGAAACGAACGCGGACGGGTTTTCAGGGCACCGGCTCGGCATTGTCGCATTAACACCAGCGCCCACGATCACGTCCGCCAGAAACCCGATAAATGTCGCCGCACCAGCAGCCACCATTAAACCAGCAACAACGGACCCCGCCACCCCATCCCCGTATAATCCCAGCTACATGGCTGCGTTTGCTCGGAGGAAGCTCAGCTCTTTGGAAACCCAGATGAAAGTCGCGCTGATGTCTGATAATAGAGCGGATAGATCAGCCGCCGTGCCCGATTTCAGCACAACCTCGGACAATTCTCAAGGTGAGTTCAAATGCATTACGGAATAATTCACAAATCACGTTTCAGCCAAAAGGAATGAAGTAGAGATGAGATTATTCATTTAAGCGCGAGGGTTGATCTTATCAGTTGTATATGTGATCATTAGGCCTTTCCTCTGCCTTCTGCTTCCCGTTCTGTCATTTTTAATCTTTTACTGTACATCACCATTCCTGCAGTCCGCCGTCTGCCTCTCAGCATCACTTCATTAGCAGTCATAACCATGCTACATGATATATTGATGAGGTATCGATCGATAGCACGTTCAGCCTCTGCCAGAGACTCTCTGTCTAACTATCCATCCACCTGTCTATATGCCAGTCTGTCAATCCATCCATCCATCCATCCATCCATCCATCCATCCATCCATCCATCCATCCATCCATCCATCCATCCATCTATCTATCTATCTATCTATCTATCCATCCATCCATCCATCCATCCATCCATCCATCTATCTATCTATCTATCTATCTATCTATCTATCTATCTAACTATCCATATCTGCTGGTGTCATACCTTGTGTGATTGTCCTACCTCTCATTCAAAAAAAGTAGGTAGCAAATCTTGATCACACAATATGCTACCCATCAGATTTATTAGCGTAAATTTTAATGTGGAGTAGTGTGATATGAAGCTGTAATATTGCCCCAACCTATTTAAGCCCTAACCCCAACCATTCAAATACAGAGTTGGTAGCATAATCTGATGGGTAGGATAAAATGTCAGGACACTGGTGCATCCATCTATTGGCTCACCCTCCCACTCAATCAATGGCTCTATCTGTTGTTCACCTGTTTATCTATTCATCCATCCATCCGTCCATGCATCTGGGGTCTGAACCTACATTGCTCTCATGGTCTTGCTGACTGTCCAAGTAAACTCACAAGCTGTAAAATGTGCCCAAATAGACTTTTGTTAGAAGTTAGAAGTCCCTCACCATAGTATGCTACTCACATTAGCTTCTTGACAAATAATGTCAGAAAACCATCAGTACATCATAATGGGTTATGGTCTGTTATTAAACCAGCTCTAATTCATCCTCTTCTGCAATGCACAAATACACTATTGAAATAAATAATTTTAACGCCCCTACCGTCCATCCATCCCTATCAATTTAAAACACAACTAGACCTTTCATTTGTTTAATTGGCATATGGTGTTCAAATGCAAAAACCTCTATGTGCCATCTGAAATTTCCTTAGAAAACAAGCATTATTCTCAGTCTCCTATTTTTATGTTCAGTTATTTTACTTTGAAGATGATGAAAAGAACTTATTCTTTAATAAATGAAAATACTTATTTTTTCCCAATAGGCTCTTACTATTATGTATATTTTGTGTTTTTACTTTGTGGTGTCAGAAAATATATGGTTTACGGTAATACTTTTTTCAGAATTTATATGAGGCCAAGATTACTCACCATTTTGACCAAAACATGAATGACAGCATTGTGAAAAAGTTCTTCAATGTACAATATTTGCATTTTAATTCTTTTTTTGTCTTATCATTATTATCATCATTAAAAAAACTATTAATTCTACATTCTTAATCAAACATTTGCCCTGAAGTTTCAAATAAAGTGAGAAATATGATCACATGTGAATGAGTACATTTCTGAGTGTACTTTAAGGGGCTAATCACACAACGCAATCTCATGGCAATTCGTAACTTTTGATTTAGTGGCTAATTCATTTTTAAATCATATGATCTAATTTGTACAACTTAGTTTGATTTGCTTATCACGCAATGACGGTTGCGGTTAGGGGTGGGGTTGGGTGCCACGCCTCCTTTTTAAAATTGTACATTTTCGTACAACTGAACTCGTATGAATTCGTATGATTTAGCCACTAAACTGACAAAATGTAAAATACGTTTCCTTGTAAGATCAGGCTGGATCACACGGTACGTGCTTTTCTGTCCTGAGAAAGCGATGCATTAAAAAAAACAAGTTCAATCACGGAATCAGCTGCGTGTTGTGCAAGAGCGCTGCTGTTGATATTGTTATAATTATAATATTATCAGGAACTGCAAAACAATAAAGAATGAACAGAGAGTCGCCACTAGCTTGCTTGGTTTGGGACTTGGAGCTGCGCATCGATGGATTTGCTCCTTTAGTTTTTTGACTTTCAGCAGTGAAATTTAAACTACACTGAACTGAACTAAACTGAACTTCAACTCTGAAAACTGAACTGACACATTTTCTATTTACTAGGACTTATGTGTTGAGCTGCTTTGACACAATCTACATTGTTAAAGTGCTATAGAAATAAGCATGAATTGACTTGAATAGAACATAAAGATAGAGTTTGATAGAGTTAAAGGGGACCATCTCCATAGTCGTCTTGACAGCAAAAACACTTCTGTCACCTCAAAAGAAAACCCGCCTCTGCTTTCATTTGATTGGATAATGAAAGAAGAGGTGACTGATGTAGTGTGCCTTTTTCACACAGAGTGCAAAGGCAAAACGACAAAACGTCGGCGGCCATTAGAAAAACGTTCAAAAACGCACAATCGGCCCTGTAAAGCATACAAAAGCAATAGTAATTTACATTTATGGGGCTGCAAGGTGGCACAGTGGATAGCGCTGTTGCCTCACAGCAAGAAGGTTGCTGGTTTGAGCCTCAGCTGGGTCCGTTGGCATTTTTTGTGTGTAGTTTGCATGTTCTCCCCGTGTTGGCGTGGGTTTCCTCCGGGTGCTCCGGTTTTCCTCACAAGTTCAATGACATGCGCTACAGCTAAATTGTCTGTAGTGTATGTGTGTGAATGGGTGTGTATGGATGTTTTCCAGTGATGGGTTGCAGCTGGAAGGGCATCCACTGCGTTCATTCCACAGTGGTGGCACCAGAATAATAAAGTGACTAAGCCGAAAAGCAAATGAATGAATGAATGTGGTCAATATATAAACTATTAATCAATTCAATTTACAGAAATGGTGCTATACCATGATATGTATCATTATTGTGATATCAATATCAGATGACTTATGTCATGACATGAGATTTTTGTCATATCATCCAGTGCTAATTGTAATGCAACAAGCTATCTTATCAAAGAGTCTGTATGTCCAATCACATAGCATGGCAAATCACATTATAATGCGTCCATACACACTCTTCATTGATTGACCTGCATGATGTTTGACCTAAACAGTCATTTATCTGCTCTACCCAGATGGTTTTGACTTCTCTATGAAGGGATTTAGGATCTGTGTGTTATAGCAGTAAATGACTTCATGAGCCTTGATTATTAGTATCTCGCTGGCAGAATAGGAGGGCCGCAGATTATCCATTGTGTGTCTGTGTTAAAGAACCAGGTCACACTGTTAATGAGAGCGAGGGATACATAAATCTTGCATTTACATGATCGTTTGGGTGCGCCAATTGTTCATATGGAAATATCTATAGACTTGTCCTACTTTTCCATAATAGTGCCAAATCCCTAAGACAACAAATCCGGTAGCTACCCGCAGTCCACTTACAAAAAGGTCATTGACCTCCTGTGATTTTACACTGCAGAAGCTTAGATGTTTGGGTTCGCATTTAGAAACTTATAATCACTTGCAAAAGAACAGCAGGAGGACAAAGAAAAGCCTTGGCTCACAGAAAGAGTGTTTATGTATAACATTCTGGCTAAATTTGCTCTCAGCCACATTTCCAAAACCAAATAGCAAGAAATAACTTGAGGAACCCCATTGTAGATCAGTAAAAACAGGCAGCATGCTGTACTGCAGATAACCCTTCAGTTGCTGCAGATAACCCTTCAGTTGAACCCTTCAGTGATCTTCCATTGTGATTAGACATTCCTCTGCTATTGTTTCCAATGGTGAGGTTTTTAATCGAGAGACAATGTCCACAAAAGCATGGATCGTGTCAAAGCCTGCCTTTATTCGGACACAGGAAGTATTAGGGGAGCCTGTAAGATAACACAACCATTATAATGAAGCTAAAACTGCATCCGTTTCGATAAATCCTATTGATCAATTCTGCATACGGCTTGATGAATTAGGTGAATATTGATATGGAGGCATTTAGAAATGTCCCAAAATATTATTATTTTTTTATTATGAGTAGACTGGGATACAGAATTTAGGAATTGATTTCCTGCATCAGTTATGATTGTTGACATGCAGTTATGAACTGAATGTTGCACTGAAAACCAGAGTAATATTTACTGAATGGACATTTAAAAACAAACAAATAAACAAATAACAAAAAGGTCATGGAAGATCAAACATCCTGATATTTATTGGGAAATACGAAAAAAAAAAAAATGTTTACAGTGGTCCCAAATATCAAAATGAAAAGTACAAAAACAACTACAGTAATTGAAGCATAATAATGTTAATACTACTACTACTACTAATAGTTACTATTATAATTATTATTATTGTTAGTTTAAATTATATAATGTTATTTTTTTTGCTATTAGCAATATTTTTTATTATATAAACCTTTATAATAATATCGATCCTTTAGAAAGCAATGTGATGAAAACTTTTCAAACAAATCACAGAATTTATTTATTGTTGTATGATTAGTTATCATAAACAAAACATTATTTCCTGAAACATTTGAAGACAATAATATACACTCAAAAATATTTTTTGTTGCTTGTTCTAACTACTAAAACAAGCTCAAACAACACGATTCTTGATTTTTTTGGAAACATAATAATTTTATGTCCAATCCACTTAAATTGTAAAAACTATTAGGTTCACTTAATCGGGACAACATGAAGGAATTGTGTGGAACCCTGAAAGTTTTATACAGTTTTCCTTTTGTATTATTAGTAGTGTTATGTGTATATTTATTTTTTGAATCAGTGATTACTTTTAATTATCCTTTGTTTTTATTGGGAAGTTTAGTATTTTGTTCTATTATCTGTCCTAAAGCAGTTTTAAGTGTTTTATTTTGTCTAATATTTAAATTTGACTTTAATTCAGTTAGTTTAATAAAAACTTTTTTAAAAACATAATTTACCAGT